TAGATAACTTAAAGGAGAAGTACAGTCAAAGCTCTTTTGGCTGTACCTCATCTGTGGATCACAGGAGTGCAGTTCGTTCTGCACTCCTGTGACCCGTCGCTCAGCCGATGCAGGCTGGGGAAAAAAACCTGGCTTTACCCCCCGGTCACATCAAAGCCGATTTTGAAATCGTATGACTTACAGTACAGTTACACGATTTCAAAATCGGGTGACCTGCCGATTTCATTGTGATTTGCAAGACATCTGACACATATGTATATGAAAATCGCAACAAAAGTAGTGCATGCACTACTTTAGAAATCAGTGCGGCTCCGACCAAGCTGGAACCACACCGATATGACTGCTCTAATAGCGGACAATAGGGTGCAACTTGGCATACGATTTGTAAGTCGCAGGACATGCAAACCGCATGCCAAGTCGCACCCGATGTGACTGTGGGCTTAAAGTCGGGATCCACCCCAAAGTCTGGAGGGGCACCTGGCTCAGCCTTTTGGCAAGTTGCTGAGAGCCTTGCCCAACCGCTCCCTCCCCCTCCACAGCCAAGCGCTCCAGTGAGCTGGTGGGGGGGGCAGAACAGCGGTCTGACAGTTGCTGCTCTCTGCTCAGAATGGCTGTGAGCACTCAGTGATCAGCGGTCATGTGATTGCTGAGTTCTCACACTTAGAGCCGGAGGGGGATAGATGCAGCATCAGACCAATACTGCATCCACCTAGATAAGTATAAATGGGGGGGGGGGGGGAACAAATTCCACACTTCTCTTTTAATTTCAGAAGCATTCCAGATGGTCACATGACAAGCTCTGTCTGTTCCTTCTTCCTCATCATCAGGCGGAAGCAGGGGCAGACTGACAGCTCATGGGGCCCCCGGGCAATAGGGGATCATGGGGCCCGTGTCCTTGCCCAAACTCAATAAAGCCTATGAAAAAGGTACCAGGGGCATCTCATGGGGCCCTCTACTGACCCCGGGCCCTCGGGCAGTGCCCGAGTTTCCAAATGGTCAGTCCGCCCCTGGGCGGAAGGTAGCCTTCAATGCTATGGTAAAATCACAATAGAATTTTTTTAAGCTCCATGCACACTAGCGTTTTTTTTAAGCTCCTAGAAGCTATTATCAGCAAATTTATTTTTTTTTGCTCCTAGCAGCTAAATCATGTTATCCCATGTGTCGATGCACACTATTTTAGGCTAATAGCATTTTTCAAGCTTCTGTGTTTAGGAGCAGAGAAAAAAAAATTTCCCAGCAGAAAAACACAAACACTCCTAAACATAACTTAATGCTACTAAATGCTCCTAACAGCTTTTTTCTAGCTTTTCTTCCCTACATGTACTGTAAAAATGCTAATGCTCCTAAACGCTTCTAAACACTACTAATACGCTATTAAAAATGCTATTACCAGCGTTTTTTATCCAGCGTTTTTTTTTACAGAGTTTTTTTTTTCTTTAAAAAAATGGTAGTGTGCATGGAGACTTAGGCCTCATGCACACAGGGCATTTTTGGAGCCACTTTTAGGGTCGTCAGTTGTTTGTTTTACAGCTTCCAAACACCCCTCCATATCATCATATGTGTCTTTTAGAAGCGTTTAGTGGCAGGGGATTTTAGGCCTCATGTACACAGGATGTTTTAAAAATGCTTTTCCTCTTGGCAGCAGTGTTTTGGGAGAAAAAATGCCTGGCGCTTGTAAAACAATCTAATGCATTTACAAGCATTTAGGTGCGTTTACAGATGTCGAATGCTTGCGCATTATTATTATCATACAGGATTTATATAGCGCCAACAGTTTGCTCAGCGCTTTACAATATAAAGGGAGACAATACAGCAACAATACAGTTCAATACAAGAGGGATAGGAGGGCCCTGATCCTGGGAGCTTACAATCTAAGAGGAAGGGGCTGGCGGTACAAAAGGTAATAACTTTGGGGGGTGGACTGGTAGGAGAAATAGAAGATTCCGTTATTAGCTGATGGCAGGATAGGCTTCTCTGAAGAGGTATGTTTTCAGAGATCGCCTAAAGTGGGCAGAGTAGGCAATAGTCTGATAGATTGGGGTAGAGAGTTCCGGAGGATGGGGGAAGCTCTGGAGAAGTCCTGAAGACAAGCAAGAGTGGAGGTGAGAGAGCAGGAGGTCATGGGAGGAGCAGAGAGGACAGTTTAGGTGATATTTGGAGACAAGATTGGTGATATAATTTGGGGCGGAGTTATAATGGCTTTATATGTTATTGTTAATGTTTTGAATTTTATTCATTGAGCAATGGGAAGCCAGTGGAGGGATTGGCAGAGAGGGATGGCAGACATGGAACGGTTGGTAAGGTAGAGGAATCTGGCAGCAGCATTCATGATAGACTGAAGAGGGGATAGCCTGTGATTAGGTAGGCCAATGAGGCATTCATTAATTTAATTGTCCAGAATAATAACTTATTCTGGTCATTGAAATGAATTAAGTCTCAAGCGCTAAACGAGCCTAGCATTAACACGCATTTAGGTGCATTTAGACGTGTGTACATGCGTTAATCGTTTTTTTTTCTGCCAAAACGCTGCTGCTCCTAAAAGCATGGGCACTGGGGGGTTTTTTTTTAATAGCTCCTAAAAGCTCCTGCCACTAAACGCTTCTAAAAGTCTATGGGTATGATTTACTAAAGGCAAACAGACTGTGCACTTTGCAAAGTGCAGTTGCACTCTGCTAGAGCAGTTGCTCCAGAACTTAGTAAATAAGCAAAATCTCTGCTGACTTCCATCATCCATCATGTGCAAGCAGGGGCGGACTGACAACTCATGGGGCCCCCAGGTGATAGGGGATCATGGGGCCCCTGTGTCCTTAACCAAACTCAAAAAAGCCTATGAAAAAGGTACCAGGGGTATCTCATGGGGCCCCATACTGACCCCGGGCCCTCGGGCACTGTCCGAGTTTCCAAATGGTCAGTCCACCCCTGTGTGCAAGCAAAAGTGCTGTTTTTTTTTTATTTTCCTTGCGCCTGTTTTCCTATTCTTTGCAAAGTGTAGCTTTACCTCATTTACTAAGCTCTGGAGCAACTGCACTTGCAGAGTCTATTTGCCTTTGTAGCAGTTGTGTGGACAAAAATGCCTTGTTGATGTCAGAGGTCAGAGGAGAATGGACAGACTAGTTCAAGATGATAGAAAGGCAATAGTAACTCATGTCAATTTGGACCAAAATCTCTGAGGAATGTTTCTAACACTTTGCTGAATCTATGCCATGAAGAATTAAGGCAGTTCTGCAAGCAAAAGGGGGTCCAACCCAGTACTAGCAAGGTGTACCTAATAAAGTGACCGATGAGTGTATATCTACAGCTTACATTACATTAAAAAACATAAATTGATTGTGCTGCGCTTCACTTAATGTTAATCAATAATGTATATAAAATTCCAATGTGAAAAATGATATAAATAAAAAACTACTAAATAATAAAGTCCATCTCCATATCGTGATTCTTTCAATATATAATAATGATTTGTGCCATTCAAATCTTCTTTTTGACATATACAGTGTGCCTTTACCAACACCGATACCAGTTGTGCTCTCACCTGAGATTTTTGACCGCACAATTATGTTTGGTCAAAAATGGTTTGTGCCCATTAAATGGACATATATTAGTGGCAAGGCATATATCAAGACTCTCCTTCACTGCTGATTCAGCTCCTTCCATCTCCTCCACCCAGCACACATACAGGGAAAACATAGCCAAACCAATTGTGCTTTATTGTTAAAAAACTGACAATTTATTATAATATACAATGGCCACTCACATACAGTAATACAGGTGCTCCATTGCAACAAATATTGCACATATGAATAAACAATCCTTAAACCGTAGCTGACACCCTCAGGCTCTAATGGATCTCACTTGACTCCTCTCTGTGGGCTGTCTCCGGGACAGGTCAGCTGACCTTGAACGTTGTGATGTCACCAAGCCCCTCCCCTACGTGTTACGCCACAGGGACACGTGGATTCCTCAGGGGGATATCATTGGATGTCACACCACTCCATGGTTTATATACTCTAACCCATGGCCATTTTACTGAAAACCTGCCCGCTCCACCCATGATCACTGCAGCTATCCATAGCTGGGGGACCCACGAAATACAAATATTAATTAATCGCCTAATGCATTTTAATCTTCAAAGTGCCAATATAAATTTACAACATTTCACCCATGGCAATACAACATAGCCATTGTGAAAACCATCTCTAAATGTCCTACATACCCACACCTCCCACTTAATTCTCTTAATAGGTACATGGGCATCAAAAAAAGATCCTAAAACAGTCAACATATTTTAAAATGTTTTAAAATACAAAATAAAATAATATATAAACAATTTAAAAAACACATTAAAACAATGCCCAATCCAATTCGACCAAACAATGATAATAATCTTCCTTCACTTACCCTTAATGTATTTTAAATAGCACTCCATAGACATATTGAATTAAAAATTTCTCAAGCAAGTCAAATCAAAATCCACATTCAAACCATGTGGTATTACAGTATAGTAGCCTGGTGGTCAGTGGGAGTACTGCTCCTTACATTGATGATTAGTGGAAATAATACTCCATACTTGGTGGTTATTGGGAAGAATGCTCTCTACATTGGTTACGAGTGGGAAGAATGCTTATTACATTGCTCATTGCACCTTATTTATTATTTCAGGTACTTATTATATAGTGCTGTCAATTTATGCAGTGCTTTTTAAATACATATTTTGTACGTTCATATCAGTCTATAATCCTCAAAGGGCATACAATCTAAGGTCCCTAACTCACATTCATACATACACATACAAGGCAAATTTAGAGAGGAGCCAATTAACCTACCAGCATGTCTTTGGAGTGTGGGAGGAAACCCATGCAAGCACAGGGAGAACATGCAAGCTCCAGGCAGGTGGTGCCATGGTTGGTATTCAAACCATCAACCCAAGTACTGCCAGGCAGAAGTGCTAACCATTAAGCCACTGTGCTGCCCCATATCTTACCTTGGTGGTCAGTGGGAGGAATGCTCCTTAAATTGGTGGTCAGTGGGAGGCAGGGGTGGACTGGCCATTCGAACACTTGGGCACTGCCCGAGGGCCCAGGGTCAGTAGGGGGCCCCATGAAATGCCCCTGGTACCTTTTTTATAGTCTTTTCTGAGTGTGGGCAAGGACACAGGGGCCCCATGATCCTCTATTGCCCGGGGGCCCCATGAGTTGTCAGTCCGCCCCTGGTGGGAGGAATGCTCCTTACATTGGTGGCCTTTGGGAAGAATATTCCTTACATTGGTGATCATTGGAAGAATGCTCTTACATTAGTGGTCATTCGGAAGAATTGTCAGTAGGTCGTCAGTATGAAGAATGCCAATTACATCGGTGGTTATTGGGAAGAATGCTACAGATCGCTAAAATAAGATCTTTAATGTCAATGGTTACATATCTGAGAGGCAGAAACTAAGGAACCCTTAGCAAACTATGAGTGAACCCTATAGTTCCATAGCATCCTGGTTGAGAAAGGCTGCTGCACACTATTTCAGTAGTTTAATAGGGTTTACACTGACCTCCATTTACAGAACGCCAAGGTTCACAAGTCACTAAAAACATAATTCAGTACATACTCAAAAAAGTCAAGTATCTGGCTGCTTGTCCCTTTATAAATTCTTTTGTATACTACCATTGGTTATTATTGCTAATTGTCTGCATAATATTTGGATCTTTCACAGTCTTACGTGCTACTTTGTTCCATGGGATCTGACATACTTCCATTCCTTGGAGAAATTAATACCTTAAATTACCATTCTATTTCTTTGAGTTGCTACATCCATTACCGAGTAAAATTCTATTTGTTCCATATATTAGCCTGCTCAAGACACGGTCAGTTTCATTTCTTGATACATCCTTTATGGACCATTCTTGAATGCATATTCTTTTATTCGGTATATCCCTTTGGTCTGATGATTTGGAATTTAATATATTATGTTCTTTATACCACCTTTAGTCCCATTGGGGGGATGTTTTGGTGCCCCTCTGTTAGTCCTTGCTGTCTGGTGACCTACATCTGACCACTCTTGTCCTCTTGGATGATGCACCCCGCCGGAACATGGTGTCTCTCATCTCGGAAGTCATCTCCTCTTTTGCTCTGATATATGTTTTTGTAAGTAAAAAAAGTTTTTGTTTATGTGATTATCTGTTGATTTATTTTTTGGTATACTCATTTATGATTGTTTATACATTTACTCGAAAGCCCTTTGTCTCTCATGCCCCCCGAGGAAGATCTAGAATTTGGAATTATCGAAACGCATCAGTGTATTTTCTTTCTTTTCTGTGTGGTTTTTATATTTTTATATTAAGATTTCTCTTCTAGGAACACTGTCAGAGCAATATTATTTTTAGAAACCATGTATGTAATATTGCAATGGAACTATGTATGTAATAAATTTGACAAAAATCTCTTTTAACAAAATGTTTATTTCAATATATGTATGATATTATTGCTGCATTAAAGTCCCACTGAGGGTTCTTTGGGTACATAAATTCAGTACATACTTACCTTTTAATAATATTACCATTTATTTTGCATAAAAAGAAATATTCATTTATTTCTGTTCCTTTAAGATAAACTTAGATGTAATGTCTTATCTTTACAGTACATATGTATCTGACATGTCTGGTAATCATTTTCCTTGCACAAAAAATTAGACCTAGAGTTCTGCAAAGTTTATTACAAATCAGTTTGATGGTATATGATGTAAACACAAATATATCCTAGTGCTTATTTCCAGTGAAAGGTCAGTTGTGCTCAGAGGAAAAAAACTCTTCTAGGCAGGGGCGGACTGACAAGTCATGGGGCCCCCGGGCAATAGGGGATCATGGGGCCCCTGTGTCCTTGCCCAAACTCAAAAAAGCCTATGAAAAAGGTATGAGGGGCATCTCATGGGGCCCCCTACTGACCCCGGGCCCTTGGGCAGTGCCCGAGTTTCCAAATGGTCAGTCCGCCCCTGCTTCTAGGGCCTTTATATACAAGGAATGTATCTAATATTACTGCAGATCTTTAGCTTATGCAGGTATTGATGTAGGTCTTCCTTTACAACAATTGCTACGTCATTAATCCCTGTGCTTTAAAGTACTGTATATGTAAACCTTCACCTTGTAAAACAACCCATACAATTAATGAAAATTAAAATATTTGTGTGTAGATTTAAAGGATAAATTCACCTTTTGACCAAAAATAATAAATGCACGTTTTTTGCAAGTAAAAAAATGTGCATTTATTATTTTTAGTTGCAGGAGTCTTTAAACCATTGTACCAGCAATCTGCAGACTGGTCACATGCCCTTTGTTCTCAGCTGCATAAGGAGCTCAGAGAGCTGAGGGAGGAGAAACAGCAGCAAACTGAACTTCTTAGTGAATTACTGTGGGGAGTGTCAGCACAAGTCTGATCAGGCCAGGCTGAGTTCTCAGCACAGCCATAGAACTGACCACGCTGTGTGCACATGCCTAGTGTGGTCAGTTTTTAATTGGAAAGCAGAGGTACTGGCAGGCACACCAGAGATTTCACACAAAGGAAGCAATACAAAGAGAACAGGATACTTTTCCATACAAGTACATGGTACAGCAGCCACATATCAGCAATATGAAAATGGTTTTACATATTCCTTTAATGTTTACTACAGCCAAAACAATTTTTTTAAATATTGGATTAAACCCGTGATCAGTTTTTCTTTTCCAATGTTTATTGAAAACAAATTTTTCAAGACAGTATGGTACAATATTCAACAGAATGAATGACAGATAACCAAACCCTGATCAGTTTTTAATATTCTCTGTGGCCTTGGACAATGGACAGGAAGTAAGGGAAAATCTCCAACAATAAGAATACAAAGCTATGGTTCTAGCTTTTTTCTTCCTCTGCTAACAAAAAATGTTTTTTTTTTGTGCCTGTATTTCTGTTGGAGATTTCCTCTCTCTTCTTGTCTGGTGATGACATTGTTGCAAAGACAGAAAGTGAGGAGAAATCTCCCCAACAGGAAAACAGACAGCAGTAGAAACCTGTCTGTGACGGGAGTGACTTTTGGGGGTGGGGGGACCCCTGTATCATCTCCCCAAATCCCTCTTATGTGTGAAGGCACCCTTTGGCTGTTAGGGGGTACAGGGTGCTCTGTCCTGATATTGTGTAGACATGGTTGGGTTGGGGGGTTGTTCATTGTTCACTGCCACCTGCTGCATCCCATTGTTCTATTGTGTCTTGCTTGCCAGCAAACAATTATGGGATGTATGTGTTCCTGCCATATGGTGTATCCTATTGTTCTATTGTGTGTCTTAGTTTGGTGGGTTGTGTTTTCCTGCAGGCCTTCCCCCTGATGGGGAGGGCCTGCTGATGTGTTTCCTTTTCCTGGTTGTATTTCCCCGCCCTGTGTATATATCTTGTGTTTGTGTTAAAATAAAGCAGTTCACTTCCTGTCTTAAGAAGAGTCTGGTGCTGTCTCGTCCTGTATGATCAGTGGTGGGGTCCATGGATTTGTGTTTGGACAGGGAAGCTGGAGTATAACAGAAATACCCAAGTGCAGTCTGGTTCCGTTACATTGGTGGCAAGCGGTGGGATTGTGCTTCCAAGCTGTGAACACGTCCAAACCACCTCTGGGATTCAAGATCAGGAAAGGAGACGTCAGTCATCCCAGTGGAGATATGGACCTGTCATCAGAGTTCCCAGGGCTGCTGCAGACTGTTCTTGCAACATACCCCAGGACTGTGTCTACGGATCAGCACCTGGAGCTCAGGCAGCGGATTTGGGAGGTGCTTTGGAGAGGAGCCCTCCAGGCTGCTGGTATAAACAAAAACAAGTGCTATCCAACCCCAGGGGAAAGGGCCAGGGACCATCGGAAGTTACAGATGCCATTCCTAGGAGAGCAACCCCTGGAGCAATGGGTGACTGAGTTGGACAGGCTGGTCCAGCAGGGGACCAGCCCCGTATAGGTTGCATGTCGACGATCCCCGCAGGATTGTCGGCATGCAACCTATATGGGGTGACACCGGACCCGCTCCAAGAAAAGGTAAGTTGTAAAGAAAGCTGACGATCCCCGCAGGATGGATCAGATCCATCCTGCGGGGATTGTCGGCTTGCTTTACAACTTACCTTTTTGTGGCGCGCGTCCAGTGTCACCCCGTGCGGTCAGTGTCACCCGGTGCGGACCGCACCTGCCTCGTGATTCCACTGACTGGCCCCCCGCACCTGCCTCGGCATGCCACTGACTGGCCCTACATTGTAGTTGATGACATCAGAGAGGCTGCAACTGGTTGAATGATGTAAAGGAGCAACTTTATGGGACCGGTCATACAGCAGGGAGGAAGGCTGGGGAAACTAGGAAAAAAGTAAATATCTCTTCTTATTCCTTACCCCTAAGACCCTGGTGCCCAAACTGTGGCCCGTTTGGGGGCTGCATTTAGCCCTTGGGCACATTTTGGGCAGCCCTTGGGGCCCCTGCAGACACTAGTCTGTGTTTTCTTATTACCTTGTTATAGCAGTCATTTTTTACAATTTTATGTAATGTGTCTCCACCCTATGACGGTCTCCTAAAGCATGATGTATCCAGTCTCCAACAACCTATATAGCAAGTTCACAATATCTTACAATCTCTTGCAGCATGTCTGCAGTCTCTGACCATCTCCTGTATCATGCCTGCAGTCTCTGACCATCTCCTGTATCATGTCTGCAGTTTCTGACCATATCCTGTATCATGTCTGCAGTCTCTGACCATCTCCTGTATCATGTCTGCAGTCTCTGACCATCTCCTGTATCATGTCTGCAGTCTCTGACGACCACCTCCTGTATCATGTCTGCAGTCTCTGGCCATCGCCTGTATTTTGTCCGCAATCTCTGACCGTCTCTTGTGTCATGCCCATAGTCAGTCTTTGACTAAATCCTGTTGTGTGTCTGCTCTCTCTGACACTGACTATTCATTGGATTTTATGAGTGGCCCTTTGGTGAAGTGGAGGGCTGCACTTGACAAAGAAAAGTAGACCACCATTGCATCAGACTAAGTGAACAATTAACCCTTGCTGTGTAAGGGGCAGCAATTGAATATCATGATTTGAATACTGACTGGAATTCAGCTTTAAATGATCAGATGTAATAAGAATCTTTACATCCCAGACATCCTGTTAGAAATGCAAAGTCTCACCAAAGATGAAATTCCAGAGCAGGCAAATTCTAGGGATTTATTACGTACTGCAGGCTGCCTATAATTTGATCTCATGCTCTGTACAGACTTCTGGGAGAAAGCAGTGAGCCAACTGCAGGAGCACAAGGGTGAGGATTCTGAAATATTCTGCCTACAAAGTGACTAATGACCCCTAAAGAAAAAAACCTAAAAAAAAAGAAAAATGTCCCCTACAAGGTAATATCATAATGGGCTAGTATGCATCACATTCTAGCACATTATGAAAGACTTACTTGAGAACTAAGTACCCTCTCTCTTAGATTGTAAGCTCCCAGGATCAGGCCCTCCTAACCCTCTTGTATTGAACTGTATTGTTGCTGTATTGTCTCCCGTTATATTGTAAAGCGCTGAGCAAACTGTTGGCGCTATATAAATCCTGTATAATAATATAATAGCTAAGCCCTCCAGCGGCGTGCTGTCACCACTGCAGAGGCTTCCATCTTCACCTGGTCTTCATTCTGGGCTGCAGCTACTTGAATGGCCAAAGCCACGATGACGTCACTCTTGCGCCTCTACGGCTGAGGCACGCAGCTCTGAAGAAACGGCACGGTTATGTCGTTCCTTTAGAGTGCATGTGCCGGTGATGTCACCTGTTGCCGATCACTAGAATATCTCCTAAACGGTGCACCAGTGAGCCAGTGAGTGTATATTATATACAGTTTAGTTTAATTAAAGGGTTAGTCCACCCATAAGTGGTATCTTATTGTAGATGGAGTCTGGTGTGCTCAGTCATCCCTTGGCTTCCAATATGGCTTGGTCTGCATGCTCGAACAGCGAGATCTAAAACTTTCTTAAAACTTTTCCTTCCTGTTGTGAGTTTTGAGTGTTTCTATCCTCATTTGTGTGTACCAGCTCTATCTTCTGTATTCTCCTTAATATAAAATGGTGGTTGTCAACTCATCAGCCAAAGAGAGCCACAAATGCGGCCCCTGACATCACCAAAGGGCCACACATAATGTTCAATATATGTAATGTTTGAAAGGACTGTCAGAAACTGCAGACCTAATAGAGGAAATGAGGGTCAGAAACAGGGTGGACTCACCATTTGGAAACTCGGGCAGAGCCCGAGGGCCCAGCATCAGTAGGGGGCCCCATGAGATGCCCCTGGTACCTTTTTCATAGGCTTTTTTGGACACAGGGGCCCCATGATCCCCTATTGCTCGGGGGCCCCATGAGTTGTCAGTCCGCCCCTGGTCAAAGAGTGTGGACAGGATACATTTGTGGCTGGGGATATGCTGCAGAAGACAATACAACACTAAAAACATGTTACATGAGGCTAGTAGAGATCAATGCTATTACCATAATCAATGTTCCTGTTACAGACTGCTGAGGTCTGAGGGCCACACATATACCAAAGTTCAGCACCAGGGATATAGAATAAATAATACATCCAGCAAGAAAGGTGGAAACTTCTCATAATGGTCACCAGACCCAGACTGGGACAAAAAATAGGCCCGGGCATTTTGGACTGAGCAGCTACAAGCCCAGGGATCCTTTCCTCGGAGTGGTGAAATGTCCAGGCTCAGTCGCAAGAGCAACCTTTGTAATCCTGGTAGTTCCATCACTAGTATCAAGTTTTTTTTTTTTACAATTTTACATGTTAGGTTTTTTCAAATTTTTTGTAGGAGCCCTGTTGGGGAGCTTTGTTGAGAGGGAAATAAAGGAAGGAGAGAAAGGAAGGAAGGAAAGAAGGAAGGAAGAAAGGAAGGAAGGAAGGAAGGAAGGAAGGAAGGAAGGAAGGAAGGAAGGAAGGAAGGAAGGAGAGAAGGAAGAGATAAAGGAAGGGAGGGGAAGAAGAAAGGAAGGGAGGTAAAGGAAGGGAGGTAAGGAAGGAAGAGAAAGGAAGGGAGGTAAGGAAGGAAGGAAGGAGAGAGAAAGGAAGGGAGGTAAGGAAGGAAGAGAGAGAGAAAGGAAGGAAGGAGATAAAGGAAGGGAAGGAAGGAAAAAAGGAAGAAAGGAGATAAAGGAAGGGAGGTAAGGAAGGAAGAGATAAAAAGGGAAGGAAGGAAGAGAGAAAGGAAGGGAGGTAAGGAAGGAAGAGAGAAAGGAAGGGAGGTAAGGAAGGAAGAGAGAAAGGAAGGGAGGTAAGGAAGGAAGAGAGAAAGGAAGGGAGGTAAGGAAGGAAGGAGATAAAGGAAGGGAGGTAAGGAAGGAAGAGAGAAAGGAAGGAAGGAGATAAAAAAGGGAAGTAAGGAAGGAAGGAGATAAAGGAAGGGAGGTAAGGAAGGAAGGAGATAAAGGAAGGGAGGTAAGGAAGGAAGAGAGAAAGGAAGGGAGGTAAGGAAGGAAGAGAGAAAGGAAGGAAGGAGATAAAGGAAGGGAAGTAAGGAAAGAAGGAGATAAAGGAAGGAAGGTAAGGAAGGAAGAGAGAAAGAAAGAGAAGACAGAGAGAAAGAGAGAGAAATAGAGAAATGAGAGAGAGAAAGAAATATAGCAAGAGAAAAAGAGAGAGGGAAAAGAAAGAAAGAAAGGTTAGAGTAAAGACCTCTCAATTTACCTTGGGGAGGGTTGTGGAAACACCTGGCAACCTACTTTGTAAAAGAAAATTCTATGGAAAAAAGCCTTCAAATGTATCAAACATGGTGGCCAGAGAACTGGCCCATAGAATCACAGAGAGTTGCATACAACTGAACATACATATACAGGTAGACCACAGTGGACCCTGATATTAAATAAATGAATTAAATATGTATGATTTCAGGTAAAAGGTCCGCCTGCTCTCTGTCTATTTCATGGCATTTCTAGCTAGTACTGTCTGGATCCTGGTTATTAGTCATGGAAACTTCTACACTCAAACCATGAATAATTGTGGGCGGACGGGTTAATCTCCCCAAATACTGGATGTGAATTTTAGAAGGCTGTAACCTTTTTTTTTTTTTTTTTGGCCCCTTTCCCAAGATTTCCCGCGTTGTGGCTAGAGAGGAAATGTCTCAGTGACAAGACATCCCTGAAAACCCTTGCACCACGCCTCCGACAGCTGTAGACATTTGTAGGCTCTGCAGAGCCATTTCAGATTTCACTGTTCTGCACTCTACAGCAGTTAGTATTATAGAATATGATGCCCTTACTCTACATTACTCCACCTTGGACATGAAGAGTTAAAAGATCTTTTTGTTGTTAGACAGACAGATAGGTATCTTCTTCAGAATTTGGTATATCAGACCCAAGGATAGGAACTGGGTTGTCACAATAATAGGACGTAGGTTGGATTGGTTGGAAGGTATTACTTTAGTCTGCAAATTAAAGACTTAAAGTGGACTTAGCACCATTTATATTACTTCACGTTCAGTACATTCATGCTAAGAATGTTTTCATTATAACACTTCCCTGTATTAATTACCATTCTTTGAGATCACAGTACTTCCCTGACAATGCCTTCATCAGGCATCATTAAGTGTCACCATCCACTTCCTAGACTTAGATTCCAGCTCAGAGATAACACAGTCATGTAAATCATGGTGCCTGGGCAGCTCTTGGCTGTGTTCACAAATGTCTGACACAAATCAGCCCCTGGCTGCAGCTTCTCACCTGCAACCACTGTTGGCAGTTTGGTTTGTGGGGGATAGGAGATTGAGGAAATGTTTCAACCTGCCTGCAGCAGGCTGAATCCAGGTCTAGGCAAAGTCTGCGGCTACAGGACTGATTATCATTGATAAGGATCACATTGTTGCTGCATATTGTAACAATGTCAGGAATGTATTAATGCAGACTAGTAAAGTTACTGAAATCTTCACTCAAAGGCCCCATTCACACTTCACATAGCAGGAATGCATTTTTTTTAAAAGAATTCTGCATGTGCTTCTGTGCATTGTGCATAGGAGAGCACTTGCATGGGCTGCCCTATGTGCGGCAATGAAGCTCCCACACCTTTTCTGGCATGGAGCATCGCACATTTTTTCAACAATCATTTTGGCGCGTTTGTTCAGGAAACGTGAAATGTTAATAGGTCCTAAGTGTACCGTTCATGTATTTTACATTTTTCCATTCCAATGTGCATACTACACTGATTAAAGGTTTTTGAGACTGCGTTATACAGCAAGTGGCTTACTCAGTGATGGTGGGAAAAGTTATTTCTGTCCTAGGGTGACAACACTGCATAGATGCAATACAGTGAATGCACGTTGTCACCTTAGGAGGGGAAATGTGTTACTAGCAGGATCAACTGGTGAAAATAAAAGGAAAACAAGCCCACAAATATAAAACAAATACAGCCACCATAACAATGGATTTGTAAGTTGCTAGATGAAGAAATCTAGATCCACATTAATATTAGCACTTTTTTTTTCCATTTCCTGAGTTCGAATTGAAGTCAGGGCACTTTCTGCATGGAGTTTGCATGTTCTCTCGGTATTTGCACGGCTTTGCTCTGGTTATTCTGGTTTCCTCCCACACTACAAAAACATGCTGGTTAATCTTCTCCTGGCCAATTTGGCCATAGTATGTGTAGGGACTTTAGATTGCTTTTGTGTATATAAAAAAAAGTAATAAAAAGCGTGCATGTTTCCTGCTGATAGTGGTTTTACTGAGAAACCTTTTCTTCTGTTGCCCTCTTCCTCAAAGTCGTAAACCATGGGGGTTTTTCATTTCGGCCATGGCTGCATGTGCGGATTACATGTAATGAAATTCTTATGTGAAAGGGAGAATGGAGTGGATAGGGGGGGATGGATTGGGAAGGAGGGAGGTTGGATTGGATGGAAGGGGGATGGAGGGGGGATGGATTGGGAAGGAGGGAGGTTGGGGTAATAAAGCTTTACACATGGGCTGGACCAGCTCCCTGGTCCTTGCTGCCTCTCCCAAACCCTCACCACACTGAGTCTAGCGGTTTCCCTGTGGATCCTTTGTCTAGAGCTCCAGGACAGGATATTGCTTGGATTATTACATCCATCCCATACACAATATACAGCTAAGCCCTCTAAAGTCATAGGAGTTACCCAGATGCAATAAAAAATATGTACTCTAGAAAGTTTCTAGCATGACACAGAGTCACAGTGGATGTCACTAGGGGTGGGGGCGCGCTTATTCATCTCAAAGAAGAAATTTTTGTTTGTAACATTGTCATGGTAATACACACTGGGACGGTGAAGATGACCTCATCACTCTCGTCTTAGATTGAGTCACAATGGCAGAGCAAAGACTTGAGCTGTGTAGTTCAGTATACACGAGTTCACAGCAAAAGCTCAGATCTGAAATTGCTGCATCATTCGTGTATAAGAGGCAAATATCCCCAATAGCTGCATCCTAGTCACCAGTCCAACCTCTGTGGAACCCCAATTTCGAGAGTGCTGTCAGTGGTCAACAATATCAATACCCAGTCAATCACATAGGACAATTTATAAAGATGAATAATGTCGTAGAACTTAAAGTACCAACATGCCTACCAGGGGCGGACTGACAACTCATGGGGCCCCCGGGCAATAGGGGATCATGGGGCCCCTGTGTCCTTGCCCAAACTCAAAAAAGCCTATGAAAAAGGTACCAGGGGCATCTCATGGGGCCCCCTACTGACCCAGGGCCCTCGGGCAGTGCCCGAGTTTCCAAATGGTCAGTCCGCCCCTGATGCCTACAAATTTTCAGCCTTGGGTATATATTGAGCTACAGCAGAATTTTGCACCCATCCATCTCATCAGCCGTTCATTGGCACTGGATAGAGCTTGTTGTGGCTGCAACATGCAGTTCATCAACTTCTATTAATGAGCTTAGTTGATTCTGGTTCAGGCATCGGCACAGATGTTTTGACCTCTTGACATTTCTGCTGCTGAAAATTGTACATGAGTGAATTTTCTAGTCCTCCTCACATATCGGCTCTAAAGCTGGCCATAGATGGACTGAAATTTGGACAGTTCAGCAGGGACCAGCCAAATTTTGACCCATCTATGGCCATTCAACAGAAGTTGATCTAACAAGTGACTTCTGTTGAACGGGACTGTTGGAAATATGTTCTCGATCAATGGTTTGCAGCCAACTGGCTGCAGTGCTCATCAGTGCCCTGCTGTCAAAATACAATAGCAACAGGAAGTAAGTGGAAATCCCCCCAATTTGAAGGAAATCCCTGGTAATCATCAGGGTCATCAAAACTAGTGTCCCCATCGGAAGATTTCCCCTCTGTTCCTATTCTGTTTCCCTCTATTCTTTTCTGACTGATCGCTTACAATAGAAAAAATCGATAAATAGTCAATAACCCATTTAATTGACATGGCACACATAAGGAAGTGGATTATAATCATTAGTTAGGATGCGATTGTCTTTACGATCATAACGTATGGATCGCATCTGTGTTGGCACTGGTAACTCATAATCTGCCAAAATGCGATCATATTTAAGAACAAAGTACTGTATCTCAGTGCTGCCGACTGATGTAAAATGACTGATAGTCCCCCCTGGCTGATCTTCTCAGTTTGATCGAATCCACTCAAAATTGAGTCTAAATCGATCGGAAGAGAAGTTGAAGCTATTTGAATCTTTGTGGATTTGTCATGATTAAATAGCATGTTGATTGGATGAAAAAAAAAACAAAGCCTGTGGCGGCAGTACAGTGACTAAGTAGCAGCACTAGGGTTGTCAGTTTGGATCCCAACCATGCTACTACTTTCCTAGTTTGCATGTTCTCCCTGTGCCTGTGTGGGTTTCCTCCCACACGCTAAAGACATGCTTGTAGGTTAATCAGCTTCAGTAGGTGTATGAGTGAGGCCCCTTTCATGAACGGACTGATTGGGTCAGTTTTGTTTTTACCCAATCGTAACCTCTATTGTTCTCTATGGAGCAGCGGGTGTTAATGGATATGTGTCTGTTTACACCCGCCTACATCCAATCCACTAGAAATAGATGAATGGGGATTTGTTCCCCTTCCATCTAGTAGTGGATCGATTCGCAGTCAGGTGTAAACAGGCAGTCCATTTACATCTGACCTCCCGTAGAAGAGAGTGGGCTGTATCTGTGTCTTCTCAGCATAAGTGCAGCAAACAGGGACCAGTCATCCGCCTGCTCAGCGGGGATCAATGGACAGATCCCCTGCTGAGAAAGCAGACTCCCCCAGGAGTCCTCCCCATGTGGAAGGGGCCTATGAGTGAGGGACCTTAGATTGTAAGCTCCTTGAGGGCAGGGACTGATGTGAATGTATAATGAATATGTGGGGCAGCACACTGGCTAAGTGGTTAGCACTTCTTCCTAGCAGCACTAGGGTCTTTGATTTGAATCCCAACCATGGCACTACCTGCATGGAGTCTGCATGTTCTCCCTGTGCCTGCGTCGGTTTCCTCCCACACTCCAAAGACATGCTGGTAGGTTCATTGTCTCCTGTCTAAATTGGCCCGTGTATGTGTCTGTATGAATGAGAGTTATGGACCTCCTTAGATTGCAAGCTCCGTGAGGGTTAGGGACTGATGTAAATGTACAATATATATGTAAAGCACTGTGTAAATTGATGGTGCTATATAAGTACCTGTAATAAATAAATGTGTGGTCACCATAAATGACCATAACGGTGACCCATGCTTCTGTCTCATTGACTTGATACGATTGATTCATGTACATAATTGATCAAAAGTTGGTGTACGTGTGTATGGAACATCGATTGCATAATGTTTGCTGCGTGATTGATTCTTTAGCTTAATGTATGCTGTCAGTTGGTCTGAACCGATTGTGCTATAGCCCCATGTATGGCCACCATAAGAAGATAACGGTGGGCATACACAGAACGATTTTTATATACCAACGTATTCCCAATCGATTCAATATACACTCCCATCTGTCCTTTCAGCCCCATATCCAATCACTGTCCAAATCTTGTAGACTTCACCTCCACAACATCTCCAAGATACGCCCATTCCTAACCTCTGAAACCACTAAGCAACTTCTTCACTCCCTGGTTATCTCTCGCCTTGACTATTGTTACTCCCTCACAGGGGCGGACTGACAACTCATGGGGCCCCTGGGCAATAGGGGATCATGGGGCCCCTGTGTCCTTGCCCAAACTCAAAAAAGCCTATGAAAAAGGTACCAGGGGCATCTCATGGGGCCCCCTACTGACCCCGGGCCCTCGGGCACTGCCCGAGTTTCCAAATGGTCAGTCCGCCCCTGCTCCCTCCTCATTGGCCGACCTCATCGCAGACTATCTCCTCTTCAGTCTATCATGAATGCTGCTGCCAGACTCATCCACCTTACCAACTGTTCCATGTCTGCCATCCCTCTCTGCCAGTCCCTCCACTGGCTTCCCATTGCCCAACGGATAAAATTCTAAACATTAACAATAACATATAAAGCCATTTATAACTCTGCCCCAAATTACATCAATCTTGTCTCCAAATATCATCCAAACCGTCCTCTCCACTCCTCCCATGACCTCCTGCTCTCTAGCGCCCTTGTCTCCTCCTCCCATTCTTGTCTCCAGGACTTCTCCAGAGCCTCACCCATCCTCTGGGACTCTCTACCCCAAACTATCAGACTTGTAGGCGATCTCTGAAAACCTATCTCATCAGGGAAGCCTATCCTGCCTTCAGCTAATAACGGAATCTCTATTCCTCTTACCAGTCCATCCCCCACAGTTATTACCTTTTGTACCACCAGCCCCTCCCTCTTAGATTGCAAGCTCCAAGGAGCAGGGCCGTCCAGGGGTGGACTGACAACCCATGGGGCCCCCGGGCAATAGGGGATCATGGGGCCCTTGTGTCCTCACTCACACTCAAACCACACCTAAAAAAGCCTATAAAAGGTAACAGGGGCAGCTCATGGGGCCCACCTACTGACCCCGGGCCCTCGGGCAGTGCTTGAATGGTCAGTCCTCCACTCAGGCCATCCTGTTTTGTATTGAACTGTATTGTCTCCCTTTATATTGTAAAGCGCTGAACAAACTGATGGAGCTATATAAATCCTGTGTAAAAATAATAATAATAATAATGTTGTACAATTGCTTGGTCGTAGCGAATCATCTTCTTTTCTGCATTTGGTTTTCCCATCCGGACTGATCAGAATACTTCCAATGAGATTGGTTTTAATTGAAATCGATCAATGACAGTGTGTGCCATTTTTCATGCTTGATAGATCTGATCATAATTGATATTTGATGATAATCAGTAACATTCCATGTGAGCAGGATGTCATGGGCTGGTCTCCTCTACAAAGTCTCCCTGACTCCAGACTCCAGATCTCATTAGACTTCGGCCATGTAGTGAGCCCTGGAAGTTTCTGAGTGCAAAACTAACCAGAAAATGTAAAGGTGCAGAAACTTTTTTTTTTTTGCTGCCAAAAATGCAATTTAGATGCTGCGGGGTGCGGTCAGGCCCTGCGCGTTCCTATTGGCTGTGAATGAGTGCTGGTCCTCCGCTGTCAGTGCCAGGATTGGTCGCCTGGAGCAGCGCTCCGTCCCGTTATCTCGCCGGGTATATAAGCCGCCCTGGTCGCCTCTTCTCTCTCCTGCTCTCAGTGCTGCCTGGTGGGATCTCCTATAGCTTCGCTCATCAAAATGTCCGTCTCGTCTTCATCCTACAAGAGGATCTTCGGGGGGAACCCCAGGTCCAGCTCCTCCGGCAGCCGCTATGCCACCTCCAGCAACAGGTACTCCCTGGGCAGCGCCCTGCGCTCCGGCGGTGGTGGCGGCGGTGGTCTGTCCAGCAGCAGGGTGGTCTTCACCTCCTCTTCCCCTGCCGTCTACAAGTCCTCCTCGGTCAGGTTGAGGAGCAGCCTCCCCCCAGCCCGGCTCCAGGACACCGTGGACTTCTCCCTGGCAGATGCCATCAACCTCGAGTACAAAGCCAACCGGACCAACGAGAAGGCTGAGATGCAGGAGCTCAATGACAGGTTCGCCAACTTCATAGACAAGGTCCGCTTCCTGGAGCAGCAGAACAAGATCTTGCTGGCTGAGCTGGAGCAGCTGAAGGGCAAAGGAACCTCCAGGGTGGGGGATCTGTACGAAGATGAGATGAGGGACCTTCGCAGGCAGGTGGACCTCCTCACCAACGAGAAAGCCAGGGTGGAAGTGGACAGGGACAACCTGGCCGATGACCTCCAGAGACTCAGAGAAAAGTAAGTCTTGGGGTTCTGAAATGGAGCGGGGCAATCCACCCTAATGTAGTGTTTAATTTATGGGTGGAGGGTTGGTGGGCTGAGGCATGTACTGGTTGCTTAGAGGGGGGATCACCTACTGGGGGGTCCATAGTCTAGGTTCCTCATGGGTGGGGTCCAGAGTCTAGATCAGGGTCCTAAAAGGGGGAACAATCCACCATAATGCAGTGTTTCATTTATGGGTGGAGGATTGGTGGGCTGAGGCATGTACTGGTTGCTTAGAGAGGGGAATCACCTACTGGGGGGGGGGGGTCCATAGTCTAGGTTCCTCATGGGTGGGGTCCAGGGGCGGACTGACCATTTGGAAACTCGGGCACTGCCCGAGGGCCCGGGTTCAGTAGGGGGCCCCATGAGATGCCCCTGGTACCTTTTTCATAGGCTTTATTGAGTTTGGGCAAGGACACAGGGGCCCCATGATCCCCTATTGCCCAGGGGCCCCATGAGTTGTCAGTCCGCCCCTGGTGGGGTCCAGAGTCTAGATCAGGGTCCTTAAAGGTTCCAATCCACCATAATGCAGTGTTTCATTTATGGGTGGAGGTTGGTGGGCTGAAACAGCTATTGGTTGCTCAGGAGAAGGCGGAGGGGGTTCTTCTACTGGAGGGAAGGTCCAGAATCTAGATTAGGAGTTCAGGAGGTCCTTTAGAGGTAGGGTCCGGAGTCCATATCAGGGTTCTTCAAAGGAGAAATGAAGTTGGGATAATCCACCCTAATGCAGTGTATCATTTATGGGTGGAGGGTGATCAGTTGAATAAGCTACTGGTTGCTCAGAGGGGGGCATCATCTACTGGCTCATCAGAGGGGGGAGTTTGTAGTCTACATTGGGGGTTCCTCACAAGGGGGGGTTCATAGTCTACATTGGGGGTTACTAAGAGTCCAGTGTCTAGATCATAGATTCCTCAAAGGCTTTTTCCACAGTCCAGATCAGGGTTCCTCAAAAGGAGAATCATGTACTGGTTGCTTAGAGGAGGAATCATCAACTGGTTCTTTAGGGGGATCCAGAACCCAGATGGGGGTTTCTCCAGAGGGGAAAATCATCTACTGGTTCCTTTGAGGGCAGATCCAGAGTCCAGATCAGAGGTTCCCCAGATGGAGAAATCATCTATTGGTTTCTTAAAGAAGGGGATCCAGAGTCCAGATTGGGGATTCCTCAGATAGAGGAGTCATAAGTAGTTCTTTGGAGGGGGGGAACCAAAGTAAATTAGGGGTTACTTTGGATGGGGGAATCATCACTGGTTCCTCAGAGAAAATTCCATAGTCCCGATCAGGGGTTGCTTTAGATGGGAGAATCCCTTATTGACCACACTTCTATGTAGGCAATTATTTACCCAAAACTGATATATCCTATGTGGGTGGATTGCCCCTTTAACCAATTCATGAATATGGTAGAGAACTAGAAGTGCACACATTTTTAATTTGCAGATCCTACTGCTTAAAAAAATAATTTTAAGGTTATAGCCAAATTAACTTATGCTGCTAAATTTGGTCAGATTTCAAAGACCTCTAGAGTTTGCCATACACAATATAATCTGATTGTACAATAAATGATGTAATAGGAGGACACATGTGAACAATCCATTCAATGAGAATCCAATCAGGTAGGCCCTTGCAGTACAAAAGCTGATTGTAAGTCTAAATTAAATTGTACTTTAGATTGTATAGTCACCTTAAGAATCATCACACATGTTACAATCTGGTTGTACAATCTTCTTTAGATCTACTGAAAAATATGTAGTACAAAGGCCTGCCTGATTAGATACAGATTGTTTAATTAGGTAGGTGCTTATATGACTTAGTTTTGGTAAATCTAAAGTTGATTTATGGTTAGTTTGTAGCACATGTGATGACCCTAAGACCAAAGGGGTATAGTAATCGATTGCAGCCAACAAGAGGTTCGATTTGGTACATTCTTATAACAAAGAGATTCTTTGTTCTGTAATGAAACCTTCTGCCCAGTCACATATTTCTATTGAAGGATAAGGTACCAATGGACGAGCTTTTAGTCTTTATCAAGGTTTGAAAAATTGAGTTTCCAACCCTCAATAATTAATTATCGTCCCAAAAGTTCTGTACTGGTGCCAAACACTCTGATGTTTATTAAATGTGTTTATCAGCACTGAGTTATCTACAGCGACACTCCCAAGGTTCTAGGTTCCATGCAAGTTCTTCTAGCTTGCAGCTTGATTAGTTTATAAATTTCCTGCTGTATATTTAGAAAAAAAAAGATACATTGTTTCCTGTTATGCAAACGTTTTGGATTCTATAGTGATGTTGAAACTTCTGTATCCACTATAGAGAAGTGAACCCAAAAAATAAATCTTTGGTTTCACATCTTCACTCTAATTCAAAAAAAGAAGAGCCATTTCCTTGCCAAAAAGCTATTAAAATATGTAGGTCAGCCTACTGGAGATCATTAGGGTTAATTTTTTTTGGCTCGGAACATAGGGACAGCTTATCCACCAGTGTTTAGTTTGCTGGTCCAGCAAAAAAAGATGAAAAAGTCCAGCCATGCAAGATAATATCAGGACAGGGATTGGAAGAGAGACGGAGAGGGCAGCCAGAGGTGCTGGTCATACCACCGACAGGATTTTGGCTACCGGACTGTCTGGTATCTCTCTCTGTGTCTGGATGGGTGTGGCAGTCCATTCAAATGGCGATGTGGCTTTCGCACAGGCGCTAGGAGTCGGAAAACTCTTGAGGAAGTGATCTATACTAATATTATGTCAGGACTGGACAAAGGCCAGGGATGAGGTAGTGAGTGCGTCTAAATGTAATGCACCTGGCACTCATTTTTTATTCTTTTAGAGGGATACATCACTTTTTTTCTTTTAACATTTGATCTATTGTAATTATACATATTTACAAATATTTGAATAAAAAAACTTTTATATTTTGATTCATTTTAAGAAGTATTTATTAACGTTAAATGATTTATTTATGGTGCAGTTTAGAAGACGTAAGTCATGTTGTTCAGTTTACTGCAGTGATATCAGACTTTCTGGCGTTCCAGTATGGCTTCTGCAGTTCTGTGTATGGTGAATTAAAGCTGAACTCCAGGCGGATATAAAAGACACCAAAGTAATGCATCTAGGTATTCATTAAGGGCAGGTTCAGATGTGCAGTGGGTCGCTTTTCAGAAGGCATTTGACAGGCTGTGAGAAGGCAGTAGGGGAGATTTACTAAAACTGGTGCACACAGAATCTGGTACATCTGTGCATAGTAACCAATCAGCTTCCAACAGGTTGTTCAATTAAGCTTTGAAAATAAATCCTAGAAGCCGATTGGTTACTACGCACAGTTGCTCCAGATTCTATGTGCACCAGTTTTAGTAAATCTTCCTCGATATGTTGCTTCCTCATCGCCTATTTTAACCCTGAAAATGCCAAAACACCACGTGGATTGCACATGGTTGCAGGGTGGTTGTCATGTGACCCCATTTATTTGAATGGGTTGCCTGCTTTTACCACCCCATGGCCACTCATGTGAACGAGCCCTAATTCTGAAGTTTAGGTATGATTTTTATTACATAGTTACAGTGGTCCAGCTTGAACCAAAATAAGTATGCATATCCCATACCTGAGTGATCCCTGTGGAATTTGCAAATCTCTGTAGTAGTCATTGCTGCTACTGTGACCACCATGATTTTCTGAGTCCAGTGCTCTGCAAGCCGTTCTGCATGGTAAAATAAAGGAGTTGCTCGCTCAGCAATGCCACCATCCACAAGACGCCTTTGCATTCTTTTTAATTAATACAAGGCTGTCTCTGATTGGATGAGGTAGAGAATATGACACCATCACCCTGCCTCTCCCAACTCATCCAATCAGCAGCTCAGTTCAAACTGCTTTCACCTCTCAGCAGTGACTTGGTAGCCCTCCACTTCTAATGTAAGCACAGAGCAGGAATTTTGGGAGGGGAGAACAGGGTAAATGACTTCAGTGGTTCTGCAATTTGAGGATGAACTGCTCCAATGTGCCTGGAGCTACAGAGGTCAGAGGACCTAGTTTTGTAACTGTTATGAATATGTAGATATTTGAGTATTCATAGCCACTATATTTCTAGTGTATATTTTCAGCAACTTTTCAGCTATAGCTGACCAAAGTTAAAATCCAGGAAAATGACTAAATAAACATCTAAAACAAATATATATGACTGTCTCGTCTGCTTAAAGGATTTGTAAGGCCTCATTCAGATGGGTATACTACAGTATTCACTCATGCGTGAGCCATGTTCCATGCATCCCTGTGCATGCAATCTCTATTATGCCAATTTGGACGCAGCAATTGCACAGACACACACAGACAATGCTCCCAATCTGACAGCTGTGCAGGTAGGGGTGCATGGCCATGAGCGCATACTGTCTGACCCTCACACATGTGAACACTTATGTGAATGAGGTCTAAATCAATCAGTTTTGTGGTCCAGGGACTCCTTCTAGATAATATAGCCAGCATGATGACCTTAGATTTCTCCATTGCAGTCAAGCAGTAAAGTTTGGTTGCTGGCCTCTCCTCTTTCTATTGATTGGGTCAATGAAGGGGCATGCCCACACTGATGAGTTCATCACTGTGATCTCTCTTCGTGTCAGCAGACGCTCAGTGTTGGACTGAGAACACCATGAAATGCAGAAGAGCTTGACTGGCTTGCACTGACACCCTTCTTTTTCAGTCTAAGACCCGCTGAGAAGTCTGTATACAGTAAGCAAATTGTGCTTCCCATGGGGCCAACTGAGGTGGCTGCCTCTGCTGACACATATGGAGCAGGGGCGGACTGACCATTTGGAAACTCGGGCATTGCCCGAGGGCCCGGGGTTAGTAGGTGGCCCCATGAGATGCCCCTGGTACCTTTTTCATAGGCTTTTTTGAGTTTGGGCAAGGACACAGGGGCCCCATGATCCCCTATTGCCCGGGGGCCCCATGAGTTGTCAGTCCACCCCTGCTATGGAGCCATGGTGGGTGGCTGCACTGAGACCGGCATGTCCATGTTGTATTACAAGAAAATATTAATGAATTTGCTTTTTAATATATAAATTACTGGATGAAATAGTCATCTTTTATACTGTGTCTGCAGCTTACATCAGACCTTGTATGATGTAATTGCACAGTTCCAACTCTGTCCTCTAGGGGGAGCTCTAAACTGCTTTATTTTTTATGCCCCTGCTAAAGTCTGTCCTCCTCCATAGCAATCCATTCCTTCCACACAGTACATGTCATTGAAATCTGGACTATGGTTGGTGGCTATGGGTAACAGTAACAGTCCAGCTCTCTCTTCCTCTGATAGGGCTCATTATGTCTTTATGGAGTTATGTTAATTTATCTGCTTTTATATGTGCTCAGCTCATTGGTATAGGAAGAACTAACAGACATACTTTTTGCCAATTTCAGGCTGCAAGATGAAATGATTCAGAGGGAAGAGGCTGAAAGCAACCTGCAGTCATTCAGACAGGTTTGTGGTTTAGGAAATGCAATCTACTATCCGGAAATGCTGCTCAACACCCGTCTTTTCCTGTCCACGTGATCCAGTCCTCATCTTCTATGCAGAAATGACGTGTAGGCAGCAGGATGAAATAAAAGGTGTTAAAGGAAACCTGCAATGATAGAAAGATGCTATATGACTGACTGCTTCTAGTTTCAGCATTTTAAGATGCTGATCTGGAACAAAAATGCAATTCGGAAGAATCAGAGGAAATTTGGCCCTCAGAACTGTCCTATATTGTAGTTGTACATTAGGGGGATATTCAAATGGAAGGCACCACAACGCTGTGGGTTATGCATTACCAAGCATTACTGCAAAACATAGGTCTGAATTGCCCATAATGAAGCCATTGGATCAGCATGACAGCCAGGGAACTAGTATTTTCAGAAGGAGAAGTCAGCAATGGCACCCTTCATACTTCTTCATTACAAGTCCCTTTGGTAGTCTTCCCATACATATGTAGGTGTGACAGTGGCAGTGGTGCCACCCCACATATTTAAAGTCTAGAATGGTGTTTTATTTTGAAAAAAAAGTTTGGCCAAAGTTTTTAGGCCATACATCTCTTCTGAGTCACAGAAAGCCGTCTGTCAGCTGGCATCACAGAGCCTCTCCAGACTGTGGAAAGATCCCCTCCATATTTTTGGGATCCACCCAGCTGTCTGACAGCTGGCTCTGCTTCCCAGTGCATGACTGAGAGCTGAATCCAGCGGCACCCACCCCTCTCCAGCCAGCGCTCCAGTGAGTGCTGGAGGGTAGAGCCGAGAGAGAGGTGACTGACAGTCACTGCTCTCCGTTCCAAGCTGACCGAGAACTCAGTTCTTGAGCTTAGAGCTGAACGGGTACAGCTGCAGCATCGGTGTGATTGAGGTGAGTATGAATGTTTGTTGTTTTTTTTGTATTCCCATACTACTCCTTTAAGTCAACAGGGAAAAGCCAACACAAGGGGGACTTTTACAACCCTCAGAAATGCATTGATTTTGTATTGTCTATTTTGAATGCTGCTGCTAGACTCATACACCTTACCAACCGATCAATGACTGCTGCCCCTCTCTGCCAATCCCTCCACTGGCTTCCACTAACCCAACGATTAAAATTCAAAATACTAACCACAACTTACAAAGCCATCCACAACACTGCCCCTAGCTACATCACCAACCTCATCCACAGATACCGCCCTAATCGCCCACTCCACTCCTCCCATGATATCCTCCTCTCTAGCTCCCTCATCACCTCCTCCTACGCTCGCCTCCAGGACTTCTCCAGAGCCTCTCCCATCCTCTGGAACTCCCTACCACAGCATGTCCGGTCAGCCCCCACCCTGTCTGCCTTTAGTCTATCTTTGAAAACTCACTTCTTCAGGGAAGCCTACCCCACCTCCACCTAAGAACTGTACTTGCATCACCTCTGCCAGATCATCCCCCCGCAGTTATCACCTTTTGAATCACCTCCCCCTTGCTTTAGATTGTAAGCTCCATGAGCAGGGCCCTCCTATTCCTTCTGTACTGAAATGTATTGTAATTGTACTGTCTCCCTTATATTGTAAAGCACTGAGCAAACTGTTGGCGCTATATAAATCCTGTAATTTAATAATAATAATAATAATAATAATAATAATATTGTCAATTCTTCTTTTTTCCTTTCTTTTTTCTATGCAGTTCTATGTGCTGCAGATCATTGTGATATACTACAGTACGTTGCAATATGCTACCCTGTGCCAGGGGCGGACTGACCATTTGGAAACTCGGGCGAGGGCCCGGGGTCAGTAGGGGGCCCCAGAGATGCCCCTGGTACCTTTTTCATAGTTTTTTTTTGAGTTTGGGCAAGGACACAGGGGCCCCATGATCCCCTATTGCCCAGGGGCCCCATGAGTTGTCAGTCCGCCCCTGCCCTGTGCAAAAATGCACACCGGCACACACTTTCGCTGTAGTCATAGCCATGGGTTGGTGAGAATGAGTGCTAAATGAATCCTGTGAATCTGACATGGATGCTATGTACAGATATACGTAGAATTATTTATGTAGTGTATTTATTTGAAGGACTGGAGCACGTTTTTTGCTCTACTCCACTCTCGTCTTCAGATTTTTTCAGTTTTAGTTGACATGTTGTAATTATTTGAAATATGAAAGCATCCTCCTTTTCAATATTGCTCAAAGCACACATGACAGTCACAAGTTGTTTTTCTAAGTCTGTAAAACCATTTTATCCAAAAGAAGAAAGCAGAAATCTCAGTTCTAAGAGTACATGACCCTCATATGTTGAGCTTCTGGCTTTGTTAGTATGAAGCACAATAGAGGGCCACTTGTGTGTCCTTCATTGGTTTTTAGGACTCTGACCCAACCCCGTGGCTGTTCCACCAGACAAAGGAGGTTCCCAGCACAGAGCCTCACAATTGTAGCTCCGGCTGCAAAAAGTTCCTGAGAGGGAGAGAGACTGGAATGATTCCTCATCTGTTTCCTTTCCTGACAAGCACTGCTGCGTTCTCACGCTTCCACCGTGGAATGCAAATTTGGGAATTATACCAAGTGTAATAGCTGGGAAGAATAGATCTCTTTGTAGTGCAATTCTATTTGTCACTAGCAGCATTGTATTGTCTACAAAGATGTAAAGAGAAGGATGTCATTTAATTATATTTAAAAATGACCCGAGGTGGCTAATCTTGTGCTTTTTATTACTTTTTTATTTATACATATACTTGTACTTTTCTAAACATATGTATCAATTTTTTTAAATGTGTGCTAATCTAATCACTAAAATCTCATATAAGCTTTTGAAGTGTAATCTTTTTTTTTTTTTTTAATAATGTAGGGAAGGGTTAGACTATCTGTACAGTTTTTGTTGCTATATGTATCCCCACTTGGGGGATTCACCCTCTGTACTGGTAACCATTGTCACTGAAACAGTAAGTGGGGGGAAATCCAAAATGTTGAAGTTGTCCCAGAACAAGAGGTACGGGGAAATGTTCTAATGGGGACACTTGTTTCCAGGTCAACTGTCTAACTGTCCATTCCCTTTACTTTGGGAGATTTCTACTTGCTTCCTGTTGCAGGACAGGAAGTGAAAGAAATCTTCTCCAATGGTACAAAAACATAAAAAAAGCCTTCCATTCTCTATTCAGAATTAAAGAAAAGTTTAGGACGTACATACTCTTTATTTGGTAATTTCAAAAGTAATCCCCAACACATTTAAACCTGCAGATTTTATTAAAATATTACCTGGCGATGTTCCATATTTAGACACTTGTTGTTATGGGGTGACAACAGTCACTGGCTTGCTGTCCTGCGTAGTCACCCTGTTACAGATGCTTCTAGTGGAGGCTACAAGTGGCCATGTTAATACACAATGTGAAGGCATGGCCCACTCTTGTCAATATCAGGACGGCAGTTCAGAGCAGTGATACTAAGCTCCTGCATGTAAACGGAAGTGGCTGCAAAGAGGATGGAGGAGATCAGCAGTGCTGAGTTTTAAAAATGGATAAAAATAAATATATAGACCTGAACCAGAACAAAAGCACAGCTGTCTTCATTCTGCTCTGTATGAGTTGTGCAAAGGGGTTTTCTGCATGGACATAGTTGGCGTTAGAGGCAGGGTTTGCATATCTGCTGTCCAGTTGCAAGAAAAGCAGTTAAAAAGGAGCTTCAATCTGCTTGAGAAAAATTAAAAGTCAGCAGCTACAGTATTTGTATAAAAGGACACTTACCTGTCCAGAAATACAGCGCTGTGCTCAACTGGGCCGGTTCTTCACCGGACTTAAGCTCCCAGGCACTGGCATGTTTACTATGGAAAGCTGGCTGTGACTCCTTGCGGCTTCTCACTGCGCATGTGCAAGCTGCACTGCTTCCTCTAAATGGCCCCACAGCCTTCTGGGACCTATGACATGTCCCAGAAGGTTGCTGTCAGGGGGGGGAAACAACTTCCAGTGGAACTGCCGCTTTGTTCCGACCAGAGGTGGGAGCGGGTACCTGTCAAAACAAAAAGGAGGGGGAGGGTAGAAAGTGGAACTTCCCCTTTAGAGTGAAGTTCCACTTTAAATACATGTAAAGTGGAGTCCAACTTTTTGGTTTTGGATAAAATAGGGAAGGGATAGCATGCCACTCTTACTTTCTTTATGCCTGAATCCCTGTTAGGGAGATTCCCCCTCACTTCCAGACCCCAATAACAGTCAGGAAAGTTTTAATCCTACCCTGTGCCATCCAGAACTAGAAAACTGTTTTAGCTGTACTTATACTTTATTGAAAGGGATGCTGTTCCATTCCGTATCTGCCACCCCTCTCTGCCAATCCCTCCACTGGCTTCCCATTGCCCAATGGATAAAATTCAAAACATTAACAATAAACTATAAAGCCATTTTTAACTTTGCCCCAAATCACATCACCAATCTTGTCTCTAAATATCACCCAAACCGTCCTCTCCACTCCTCGCACGACTTCCTGCTCTCTAGCTCCCTTGTCTCCTCCTCCCATGCTCATCTCCAGGACTTCTCCAGAGCTTCCCCCATCCTCTGGAACTCTCTACCCCAATTGATCAGACGGTCGCCTACTCTGCTAATTTTTAGGTGATCTCTGAAAACCTATCTCTTTAGGGAAGCCTATCCTGCCCTCAGCTAATAATGGAATCTTCTACTCCTCCTACCAGTCCATCCCCCACAGTTACTACCTTTTTTGTACCACAAGCCCCTCCCTCTTAGATTGTAAGCTCCAAATAGCAGGGCCCTCCTATCCCTCTTGTATTGAACTGTATCGTTGCTGTATTGTCTCCCTTTATATTGTAAAGCGCTGAGCAAACTGTTGGCGCTATATAAATCCTGTATAAGAATAATAAATAATAATAATAATAATAATAATAATGCTGTTACCTTACCCATACATTGCTGTGTGACAGTGTCTCGGGAAAGGGCATCCTCCATACCCCTGATCAGGGACGGACTGACCATTTGGAAATTCGGGAACGGTAGGGGGCCCCATGAGATGCCC